TCGGCATTGCTATCATCGTTGGCATGTATGCTAGGAGCGGGCACGCACGCGTGCGCAGAACTCTGTGTACGACACGATCTGGCCTGCTTACTGCCAACACTTTGTTCATCGTCACTGATGTCCTCTATATTGGAATCGTGACGTTCACTGTTGTTTAGAGGCCTCTTAAGAGTTGGATTTACCTTTCTTGCAGCTTTTGCCTTCTGTGCGGCTCTATGTGGTGTCTTGTAACGCATCCACGTACTTTCATGGCATGGTGCGTCGCACTCGACGAGCTCCCATGCCTCAAACTCATCCTGCGGGATGATAAGGATACGCGGTCTCGCGTTACACTTTCCACAGTAAGTTGTGGTTTGTTGCGTAATGAGCCCATCTACTAGTGACGTGAAGGACACAACTTCGATCTGAGATGAGACAGGGCCTCCACTCAGAATCACTATTGGCTGCAGGAAACTCTTAGTGTAGTTAGTCGTTTGGCACTTCGAACACTCCACTGTTTGTCCTTTCACTTGACATGTGAACCATTTGTCCTGTTTCTCCGGCACGAATTCCGTAGTTAATACAGCGCTGCAATGCAGGCAGTTGATCACTTGTTGAGTCGTCGCGTAATCCACAGGAAGAATCCACGAACTTCGCGCGTAAACACTCGGTGTAGTCATTGTCGCGACTGCGCGCATGCGCGTTGCTGGCTTTGCGGAGCTCAGCCGAAACACGTCCGCTCGCTACGGCGGCTTAGACGCGACCTGCTTTGCGGAGCTCAGCCGAAACACGTCCGCTCGCTACGGCGGCTTAGACCGTTCTCCCCGGCGATCAGAAGTGAGAACAACACCATGACCCGCTATCAACACGGTCTAGAGTGGTTCGACAGTGGTGTAACGTACAAACAGTTATACACCAATCTCCGAAATATTGCCGGTATTTCGCGGAACATATACACGCGAGGTCCGGAGAGCGTACTTTTTCTGCAGACCGTTATGGCAAGGGAAGTTATAAATTTGGATGAAACCCCCGATAACTCACCCTACGAGGACTTTCCACCGAATCGTGACCATTACGAGTGTATCGTTCACGCCTCTAAGGAGACACGGGGATCATTTACCTGCGCTCTAAACAACGCATTGCGTCTTGAATTCTGGCTTCGGAATAACGGATCGCATATATGAACACGCTAGACCTTTACCTCGGCCTTTGCGGTATATCGGAGCATACGACGGGTGTCTACGCAGCTGATAGAATACCCAGAAACTGGTCGAAACCCGCTGCCATTATTGCCAATACGGACGATCATACGAAGCCAGGAGCACATTGGGTTGCAATATACGTGGACCCTAGCGGAGACGGTTACTACTTTGACAGCTACGGATTACCACCGCTGAATCATCACCACGCATCGAGACTCCGACGGAACTGTCGATCCTTCCGATGGCACTCTCAGCAGCTTCAGAGCGAGACATCAACGGTGTGCGGCCAATTCTGCATGATGTTTTTACACTACCTCTCCTCAGGCTTCGGGATGCCTGCCTTCCAGAATGTGTTTAGTAGTGATTTGCGGAAAAACGATAGAATCGCCCGAGAGTACTACGACGCTTTTGTGCGAAAGAAGCGTTTAGCGGATCGTCGGTATGCGCAGGATAATAAGATCTACGGTGGCGGCAGTAGGGTACAATATTCGCGGTGTAAATCAGGCTACATGTGTTAAGAACTGTTTCATGAAAGCCGAGTGGGTTGTACATTTAATTACATAAATTGAGGCCATAGTAGGTGTATAAGTAGCAAATAAGTTTAATAATAGTAATAATAAGTATAATGATAAAATTTAAATAGGAATAATATATATAGCGTAAATAATACTAAGCTAGGTTAGATATATAAGTAATGTAAGCAATTAATAATATGTGTTTAAGAAAAAAATATATATATACAATACAAGTCTATACTACTATTATTTAGGTAATGAGGGTGACCTGCCCGTACCCAAATCACACCAGGGTGTCTCTATTGGCCTCATAAAAGAGGACACTTGTACAGCTACTGTTTCTTACAATATACGACATATATTTAAAAATACCTATTTTTTCTGTTTTTGTTTCCTTCACCTCCATCTCCCCATATCTTGTTAATAATGGTAAAGGACGGTAGGAAATAAAACATTAAGCGTATTCCTCTATACAGAGCTCAGGCTAATCATCGAAAATGTATCACACCAGACAGCTTTATAATATATGTAGCGTTTCTTACAAAAAAACACTGTGTTCTACTTCACCATGGGACACTTACCTCCTTAGGATAATTAAAAATTACCGACCGGCGGTCACTGCATAATTACCGACCGTGATACGGCCCCTGGGGACGATGCAACGCTGCTGCGCGGGGTTTCGGGCCTTAGGACCGCGTGGTGGTGGGGAGGGGGGGGGGTCCACAACTGTGTCGCAGGGGGACGGGAGAGCTGGTCACATAGATGAGGGGGTAGCGCCATAGTGCAGCGCGGGGGGCACAGCGCGATGCGCTCTATGACTCATAGGGACAGTGGTGGGGGTTTGTTATGACTCCCATAAGTGGTGTGTATCTACTCACCATCACGGCAACACACTCCATGGGTCCTACTATTGTTTTCTTGTATTTCGTGTATTTCTTGTATTTCGCATAAACTGACTGTCTTTTCGTATCTTAACTTCTCTTATAACGCGACATTACGAACGGAGCGGAGAGCAGACAGAACACCCAGCAATCACGAGGCACCGCCGAACAGACGCCATAAGGGAACGTGGACGATCGCCGCCAATACCTACTAACGTCCACTCCAAAGAAGTTGGCGGACCCGTTGCCGTATCGCATATCGACTGGCGGTAGAAGAGACACGAGAGTAGCAGGCCCAGCCGTACCTAGTGCACGGTACGTGCCAAAGGCTTGTGCACTCTGTCCCAAAAGGCGCCTCTCGAATCTCGAGTATTGACAGTGACTGACGGGAGAAAATCTAGATGATTCTTCCGAGGAATTGAATAACATCAGCGATAGCACCCAGAAGACTCGAGGAGCTAGGCATTCCGAGATGATTGCGACAAGTGGAGGATGCTCCTTCGCATCCCTATAGCCAAGGCGACGAGGAGGATGAGCCCATGGACCTTACCAAGGGTTAGCCAGGAGGCTGCCCTAAAATTCTGATCCTGGGTAGAAGAGTTACCGTCAAGAATCGGCCCCGTAGATGGGGAAACGTGCACCTTGATGGAGTAACAGCATCCGCATCCTGAGACAGAGCCAAGGAACCTCGTCGGGGATAATCGCTATCATCTAATATAGTATTGATAACGTAATATTAATTATCTACTAACGTGATATTTTGAGTATCGTCGTATCGTAATGTAAATGGACTCCTAACCATGTTTAAATTATGGAGCGCGCTAATAAGTTTGGCAGTGGGCCCAACGCGTTAGGGGATTTCACTACCGACCGAACGCGAGCAGATAGATCGCTCTCTGGCTGGCTGTCCGTGGTGGTGAATAGATGTCTTTCAAATTCGCTTAATACCGGTGAGTTCTGAAGTTCGATTAACGTGGAATTTTCCTGGCAGTCTTGCCGTCTGTTATCACTCTCGAATCCTTCTGATTCGAGACTATTTTCGTAATCGGGAAAATTCCGTGTTATCGTCTCTCTTCCTATTGTAATCAATAATTGTATAATTTAGATTAGAATTAGTACGTTCTAATTAAGAGAGTGATTTTTTTTTGATCCTGGAGTGTGACCACTGAGCCTACGTGCTGTTATTGCTTATCAATATCGAGACGTACCTTAGTACATATTTGCTATTGTCTTACTTTGCTTTGATTATTTGAAGAAGTTACCAATCTGTAAATTTACCTGTTTTATTATGTATTTCATTCTCGCGAATATTAGTTTTATTCACCATTGTCTTATTACTGTTATTTCTGTGCTTTATTCTGTTCAAATTCCGATGTACTGTGATATGCCATTGCCTAGCGTTCTCTAGTAATAGTGCTATCGTAATACTTCCAACCTTAGGGCTATCGTTACGTGAAGGATGCACTGTTAGCTACGCCCTATGTAGTACGGTTGTTAGGGCTATCGTACGAGTCTTACACGACAAGTACTATTTATTGTAATCTATACGCTCCCGATTTTCGGCATATCACTCCCGTTATTAATATTGTCCTTATTGTCGTACAAAACTTTGTTCTTTCATATCCGAGTATTTCACGTGATTGGGGACTTAGCTATCGAGCAGTCCACCCTCGTGCACCTATTGTTTTTATTTATGTCCTAATAAAACGGGCTTTGTTATCATTGATGGAAATTCTGTTCTGTTACTGTTCACAATTTCGCAATCCCATAGCCAAAGATCCCTGCCCTTCTGCGCTTGCTGTTTCAGGGTAAACAGGCTGAGCTAGTAGGTTGCCGATCGAGTTGTCGTGAGAGCGGTTACCGGATATCTTGCCTCGTGAAATCGGTATTCCTAGAGAATACCTGACGTCCAGATCTTTTGCCGGTTATAGTCCTGATTGTTACTCTCGCGAGAAGTCGTATACTTATGACGAGAATTCTTTCTTTGTTACCGATTCTCGATTACCGTCTGAAGAATTCCAATATATATACAAGAAGACCCGGCGAACGTTGTTCTGCCATATAAATTTTTTCTAGTGAATATTTTGGTTGTTAAATAAAAAATAAAGAATGTATTGTAAGTGTGTGGGGATGGGATTTATGACAAAAAGAGGAATTGAGCGCTGTAGACGATGACCGCCGATAAAAACAAAAAAACACCAACCATCCATTTTCTCAATTCAATGTATTTCATTAACGTAACGGACATATTCATTGTTTGATCTCTTAAAAGTTAAATGTAAAGTGAAAAAAAGTAATATATTTTTTATCCTAAAGTAGGAAAATGAAATAAGGAAAATCAATATTAATTTTGAAGAGCAATTGAGTGTACGATATTTTTGGTCAGTCCGCCTTTAGCCCACGCGAGAACATGCCACGTATAATTATCCGTGGGAAAAACATGATGTGCCCAAATCTAAACCGCAAATAGACATCGTATGGCCTTGCGACTTGTTGATTGTCATTGCGAATGCCAATCTAATAGGAAATTGAACCCGTTTGAATTCAATTGGCACGCCTGTGGGAATCATTGGAATTCGTGGCAGCAAAACATTTTCGGCTTGGAATTTGCCATTCAAAATAGTGGCTTCAATAATGTTTTTCATCAATTTTTTAATGACCAATGGCGTGCCATTGCACAGCCGTGCTGGGTTCAAATTCCGAAGTAAAATAACCGGAGATTCAACATTCAGTCGTAAAAGGTGTGGTGGCATGCCTGGCAAATCCAGTGAGTTAAAAAACTCTGTTAGATAATTTACAGCTTCGTTGGCATCGCAAACTGTATCGATCGATTTGTATAATACCAAGTCGTGTGGCAATGACTGCTGTATCTTGAAGTTTAAATCGTCGACGTCCACATTTTTTGCTGCCAAAATGGCTCTTTCTGCCAGCCACGCATGATTTATATATTGTGTGCCTACATCGGGAAATATGCTGTCAATGAGAGCATTTTGGGAATCAACAATTGTGCAGAAATTAGTGGGCAATTTTATGCATCCAGTATTTTCATAGACAGCAATTTTTCCATCGCCGATATCTAACAATTGGTTCGAAAATGTCTCAGCGGATGGATCTTCTAGCATTTGGACGCGCATGTTTATATATAGCTGGACTTTTTCAACATTACGCCACAGTGGCGGTGATTTCAAGCAAGCGTTGATCTCATCAGCGTACGTTGAACGTGGAATGACTGGAAGTATTTGTCTGAAATCACCTGAAAGGAGTAACAGAGTGCCGCCGAATAGTTTGTCGTTGTTTTTTATATCTTTGAGTGTTCTGTTCAACGCCTCAAGAGAATGTTGAGCGCATGACAATGGGGACATTCTTTGCCCATAGCACCAATCAACACTTTCGGATGAGCGGAATATTCAATATCTGGCTCGTACTCAAATGCGAGACGAAGGAACGAAGCAGATGCAAATACTCGATGTACTTGTTGGCGTTGTCGGTCATTTGCTCTGCGTGGGTTAACTACGAACCGGCGCGACTGTCTCCGTTCCAATTGTCGTTGTTGATTTCGTTGTTGATGTCGTTGATGCACGCAATTGCGACATGCTTACACGCACATTTTCGTTATCTTGTTAGATTTGTTCGTCTGTTCTTTCTGCTCTACTATTTCGCACGTTTGTTGCTTTATTCGTTCGACAGCCTAAATAGGCCCCCTTACGTCTTGCTGGCATTGTTCACTGTAATACATACACACACAAATAGACAAAATTGTTGTACTTACTGATAAAAAGCGGTATATCGATAATGTATTTATTCTTTTAGTATTGTTGTGCTGGGAGTCTCCTGACCCCATTGAGAAACGCCAGGCCAAGTAGTTCCCGCGTGTAGCAATGCGCTAAGTCAGAACTAAAGGCGGCCTGGCAACCGAGATGTGGAAATCGAAAAATCACACAATAATCACTTTCGGAAGTCCAGCTTATGGCTGCACATCCGAAAATCGACAGTCTACAGTTAAAATCCGAACGAATGAGGTGGTCTCGTGGAGTAAACTCGGTACAGGAAATAGGAGGACCGAACGGTGCCTGTATTTTTCCAAGTTGACGTACGTCGACATACTGTACAACACACTTGATTGTTTCAATAAACCTTCTCAGCTTTGTTGTATTCACGCGAGTTCCAACTCCTTAACCGGCAACGATCCCAAAAATACCTTGGCCCTAACCTCTCGAACAAACTCCTTCGTCACCGAGACGTTACGGCACAACAGTATTTTACCAACCTTTTTACAATCATAAAACACGTATATATTTCTTATAAATCAAAATGGACATTTCATGATTGAAATGTCAAAATGACGTGTGTGCGTGACGCATGCGTGGATGAAAATTCGATGAGGCGGACGTAGTGTCATCTATCATTCAACAACACAAATAATTTCGTTCTGTTTGAAATAGGAATGACGGTTAAATTATTTGGATATTGTTCATAGAAAAATACTAAAATCGCGTATAAGATTATCGCGTAATAAAAAATGGAAGGGTGAGGGTAGGAGTGTGAAAATTTGGAGTTATAGGTATTTTCTGATGCCAAATTAAAAAAAAATACAAAAAAAAATTGTTATCAAAAAAATACAAAAAATTTTTCTGGATAGGGACACCCTAATTACCTAGCGGTATGAGATATGCTTTACGACCTATTCTCATACCTACAAAATATACATAAAAAATTTCATAAAAATCGGTCGAGCCGTTTCGAAGGAGTGCGACCACAAATATCGTGACACGAGATTATTATATATGTTGGGGTTTGCTCCATCTTCGAACTTTCGACGAACTCGCGGATACAGGGCTTTTCTCTCAAATCAAAACTGACTTTCCCGTCAGTCTATCCACGTTATATCCTCAAGGTCCCCACCCCTATCATTAGATTGGGTGTTTACATCCCACGACTGCGAGCACACCCGGTGTCCGTCAGGTAGCACCCCAAGCCATATAGGGTTGGAAGAAAAGTTATACTCAACGGAACGTAAACGTCTTAATTGAATAATAATAATAATAATAATACGCTACACTCCGACACATATATAGATATTGTGACGTGGTGTATTTCACCCGTCTTGTCCTCGGCGGAAAATCACGCCGAAACACTATACGGTAAAGACCATAGCAAAGTCCAGGCAGGATCCACCGAACGCAAGGGCCTAATCAAAATTACGACCGATTATTCCATTACTTTTCTTTTGTTAGCGTGTACTCTGCCGGAGTTCGAATAGGTTGCTCGCTCGCCGTGCCCGTGAAGACGCGGAGAAAGAGAGAGGGAGAGCCAGCTGGAGTTCCAGGAGGAAGGGAGCTGCGACACGCGAGGGTCGACACTCGCGTTATCTGCGGAGAGCAGCTCTACTGGCCCAGGAGGCGCGCGCAACGCGGGACAGCTTGACGTCACGCGGCAACAACGCGCTCTACTCAGCTGGTACTAAACCACGACAACTGGAAGTGGCGCACACAGCGCCAAACGAATGAGCACCACTACTGACCCCTATGGCATAGCGCCCATCGTCAGTTGCGCATAATTATATTTCTGCGAATTGGGAATCCAGGGACGCCTGGTGCACCCTCGCGCGAGAATGACTGATACTCTTCGTAGGACCCGATATGTATGAATTGTCTATGAGAGATTATGGAAATTATTAATTGTCGGATGACATATTCGAAACTAGCGCATGGCGAAGACTTTGGGTTGAAGGATTCTTCCGCAGGGCGAATCGCCGCCCATTAGCCTAAAGGCAGGGGGTGCTATTCTTCACGCGAAGACAAAGCGCGTGAAGATCGGGGGAATCTTACTTGGACACGCGACGGCAATAGACGTTTGTTTTAATTTGTGAGTACCCGGGTACACTGAGTGCCATTGGGCTGACGATTTGGTTTCTCTTGGATTACGCGACCAGGGAAAACCACAGTTAGCGAGTTGCACTTGACGTTTTGTGAGCGACGTAACTCCGTGCAAATTTTGATACTGGAGTTTTGTTTGTTTGTCGTAAGTTTTGATTGCGGGTGTAACGAACACGCAGAGGGAGAACTCCTTACCTCGAATCAGACCAAGGCACGAAGGTCCGTCGACCGGCAGGGTTCACTGTTTAGAATTTTTGTTTGATCTTATTTTTGGATTAGAATCTTGTAATGTTCCGCCCGCAAGGAACTTATAATTTTGATTTAGCTACGCGTAGAACGTGTACAGGTCCTTGACGGTCGGTTATCGTGTTGTGGTAAACGCGGATTAGCCGCGTTACGATTTTTGGCTTTGAATTCGTACGGTACGCGAAATACCCATTACTATTTTTTTGATTGTACTTCTGTTGTGTCTTTTCGATCTATATTAATTACTATTTTTTTGTAAAAAATTGATTCGGTATTGTACGGGATCGTCGCGCTTCGCGCCGCTGATTTTATCGAATAAACCGAACCTTTTATTTGAGATCGAAGTGTCCAGATTATTTTATGTGTCGCGTGATCGTCTAACCCATCTGACCTATTGTTCCGAATCCCGACGCCTCCGCGTAGCTAAGTTAGCCAACGTAGGCACGCGACGACGAACTATAGAAATTGAAACGTGGTTCCCGTTTTATAACCTGACGCCCAACCATACTTCAGGTATTTCGACTGTAACAATTTGTAAGCCCCTGGGTTGCCTGGAACGCGTAGGAATCGCGTAAAGTTGTACGCCGGTCGGTCTTGCATTTTCCGGTGAGGTCGATCGCGTAAAAATACGTCACAATATACAATATAACGTTTCTTACAAAAACACCATGTTCTACTTCACCATGGTACACTTACCTTCTTAGGATAATTAAAAAAATTATCGGCCGAGCGTCACTGCATAATTTCCGACCGTGATAGGCCCCTGGGGACATGCAACGCTGCTACTATTGGGGGGTTTCGGGCCTTAGGGCCAAGTCCGCGTGGTGTGGGGCCCACCAAAGGGGTGAGGGGGCGGGGAGAGCCGGCCACATAGGCGGGGAGATGGCGCCATAGTGCACTGCGGAAGGGCAGAGCGCGGTGCACTCTATGACTCATTGGGATAGTGGTGTGGGTTTGTTGTGACGGCCAGGAGTGGTGTGTATCTACCGCGCTGGCTGGCCATCAGAGTCGCGAGAGGGTACCGGACCATCACCTATGAGGCTGAGGACGTGCTGGCGGGGGTCCCGCCCTTCGAGCTGGTGGAGGAGCAGGAGGCAACGACTTACGAATATGAATTAATTAATATGAGTTACACGAGTCGCGTTTGAGATTAGAAGGTAACAATGTAGAATTAAATGTTGGAAAAGAAGATGTCTTTACAAGCGATGAGGTTCTCAGGAGTGCTTGAAAGACGGACAAGTACTCAAGTTATTGTGAGATTCTGTAGTTTAATTTTCATTTGGCGAAATTACAAAGGAAATACATGTGGACAACAGTCACACTTGAAAAATAGGCAAGGTACTGATAGGAAAGTGTCTTACAAGCGATGAGTTTCTCAGAAGTGCTTGAAAGACGGAAGTAAACTCAGTTCCTATCAGAGCTGAATGTAAATAACTTAATCTTAATGTGTTACAAGCGATGAGTTTCTCAAGAATGCTTGAAAGACTCTGAAAATCTGAAATAAAAGAATTAATGAACTTAACGACGTTAATAGTTACTTACGTTAGTTGAATGTTATTGGTTTCAACGTGGTAATTTTGCTTGGAAAAGGTTTTCTTTTTTGTTGTGCACTTAACTGATCACTGGATAAAACCGACTCATTCACTAATGGAGGCGCGCCCTTATATACTGAGTCAAAAATCGAGAGATTTTCAGAAAGATTGAAACTTCCAGAAGGTGGTAATGCGAGGAAGTTAGAGAAGATCTAAACCAGAGTTGTTTCTGATGAAATTAGTCTTGATTAGGGGTAGTCAGTAATTGTTTGTTAAGAAGCAAATAAGATTTCTTCCAATAATTTTTCTGGTTGGAGAAAATCTCAAAGAATCGGGAACATTCGGGGATTTGCCGGTGATGCTCAGTGGCGCCCTCTATTGGTTGGAACTGTCACTAGAAGTGCCATGGCTGCGCCTATGTCGTTCACAGCTGGACTATCTTCATGTGTGGTGTTGTTTTGTTTTTAAACAGAATCCGACACTATCCCCCCCCCCTCCCAGGGAAGCGGGGTGTCTATGAAGATTTCCCCCACGTAAAAAAAAAGGTTAGGTTACTGTAGGTTGGGAGCATAAGGCTGAAGTTGGACTTCCGAGCTTCGGCTAGGTCCAAAACCCCGATGAAGCTGATGTTCAACTATATGTAGTGCGACGTTATTCCCCAAAAACAAAATCTCAATACGAAATTAGACAGAATATAGACGATATCTG